GTGATTCCGTCATCCCTTCTATGAACCACGTTGAAAAATAAGTGGGCACTTCTTGCCTTGTAATAGTAACCTGTTCCCTAAATATGCTCTTATCCTGGCATTTCCTATTTGACTAATCTTCTCACTGGCGTCCTCCAGGACCTTCGCATACTGGAAGTATTACCTAAACATAGAATCGTGGAAAATCAACTCAATAGGGGCCTGAGACACCACTGAAACTCACATGGAAGGGTTCGACCAATGTCCTGATAGCTCGCGGAAACATTCCGCAAAATTTGTCAGTCGCTCACTTCCCCTCTGAGATGGCGGTCAATACTGGTGACACAAGATTTAGGAAGCTTGACGTTGATAGCGTCGTCGAAACTAACTTCCAAGATGACGGAACAGACGACGTTTCATCATCTTTTAATGAGCGGGACGTCGAGAATCTGCTCAACGGGTGAGTTATCCTCTTTGTGCTCATTAATTAGCCTAGCTATGGCCCTAGAACATTTCATTGACTGAGTTTCCACATACCGTTGTTTTGGGGCTCCTTGAGAATGTGATGTTAGTTTTATGACAATATGTAATGTGCAGTCACAAATTTTCATCTGGGTAATAGGCTGTGCAGCTCCAAAAGGTAGGCGAGAACAGTGATAAAAAGCAAGTGGAAATGTGAAAGTCCAGATGACACCCAAAGGAATTAGCGAGATCTCAGTTTCTGTATCTGTGTTTAGTGACATGGGAAATCGGGCCAAGTTCGTCATGACCGTTTTTGATAGATCAGTGTGCCACAGGATATGGCGAAAACCACGTTGGCCTAATGTAACGATTTTTTACTCACATCATCAGAGTAGTGAGTCTACCAAAACTCGAGATTTTGATTGACAAAGTACCTGACTGTCATTACGGTTTTAACTATAAGTAAATGAGAGGAACTAAAAGGGGAAACACCGACTGGTACTTCTCTACTTGCGAACATTTTTTTAAAAAAATACAGCAATAGAAGTGAGGGGGGACGGCAAAGACGAGCGATGCAGGTATCTTCCAATCGTCGGGCTAAGGACTGCGGAGGTGGTATGAACGTGGATCTCCTATGTAATGCACTAGTTTCCGAATTGTTTTAGACGACCGTTATCTGGTTACTGCACTAAATTACTGTCCAGGCCGGCTACAAAAGTTGCGACGCCGTCGCTTGTTTTGTCTGCAGACCAAAAATGTCCCTATTGAATTATGCTCGTGAGCAGTCTTTAGACGACCGTACAACACCATTGGGAAATGAGAGGATAAGGTTCCATTTCTGAACATGACTTTATCTTTCCAAGTTGCACAAGTGCGCTACGTTGTGAGAAGTTGGACGCGACCCACGATGCGGTCTACCCAGAACGTTTTGGCCGTTTTTTTGTAGGAATAAGTTTTAATTGAACCCTGTTTAATACATAGAAGATACGGTGAATGCATAAGCACGGCCTTCCTTGTCTACGTCTCCAAACGCAGGCTGTTTCGACAAGGGGTAACAAACCGAGGCCAGCACATATTTTGGACGAAAGTACTATGAAGCATTATTTACCTCTTGGTCTTGGCAGCAGTATCAGCCTAACTTTTGATCAAGTTTTAGGAAATTGCAACAAAGTTGTGCTCAGAGCCAGTGAATGGACTCCGTTTTGGTCGTGAAAGAAGTTAGAATAAATAATTTGACCGTAATCGACGGGTCATTGGGACCAGTACCACAGGGAACTGTTTTCGAGTCTGTAGAGTAAGAGTGCCTGATTTAATATGACTGGATTTTTCGTTCCAGTAAATAGGATCTTCACTAGGTCGTTCGATTACTTCTGTCAAGGAATTGAAGGGGCAGACAAAGCCATCTGTAAAGTTGGGAGAAATGATTTAGATACAAGCAGAGATCTTGAATATTATCAACCTTCGGGGCCTACGAGGGACAGTTATTGCGTCTATAAAGTCGTTGGAATTGAAAAATAGCGTGGCGGTCAAAGGATATCTGATCAACTTAAGATCAACAATGGGTCCGTCCTGCTTGATGACAGAGGTCAGGTGAACGTGAGAGCTGATTTAATTTTTATACAGGGTAGATTGCCGTGAGTTGGCAATTTACATGTGGGTCAGAAAAAGGGATGTAGAGTTTTGTTCGCGCCGGTGAGACATGTACTCACCAGTCTAAGCAAGTGACTAGCTGGTGGTTTGTCGTTACATGGGTTGAGCCTGCGACACATCTACACATGTGATGAAAGGCCAATAATGACAAGCCGCACCGGAAAATGGAATCTTGGTGTGGCTGTCACAAGCGCACCCGATCTTATTGGCAAGGCTAGCATTTCCTCCATTACGGTGACCTCTTGACAGTGTTATGTCAGTTTCGTAATGGCAGAAGTACGGAAAACACATTAATAGCGATTCGATGCTCACCTTCAGCTGTCAGCTATGAGGGCGTCTGCGTTCTGGTTGTTTTTTTGGCGGGGATAACAATTTCAAATTATCCTACTTTTGTGCGGATGAAACGGCCCTTTAAGATTAATGTCTATAGCGATGTTACTCTGAAGGAGTCTTTTCAACAGGCGCACATCAGATGTTCTCAAAACGCAGCTGTGTTTCCTCGAATTTGGGTCTGCCTAAACAGCGTAAAGGTGTCGTTCCCAGTACCTAGCCCTGAATTATTTTCTGTTATTTTTTCAATTCCTCCCGAAGAGGGCGCTTGACTTTTGAATACTGTCCATGTTTTCTCGCCAGAGGGGCGCGTTTTCAAGACATGGCTCTATACGTCAGCTTAGGTTTTAGGCGGAGACCTCAGTGTATTAAAGCTTGCGTGGTTTTGGGGATCCAACCAGACAACTCGTCGATTGCGATGCTGCTCGTTATAAGGTCTCTCTCACCGATGTCATATTTGCTTCACAAGAGCATGTCTCTTCTCCGCTGTAGAAACGTTTTTAACCCCCTCGCTACTTCTCCCCACAAGCGTGTGCTTAGTATTCATGCATATAGATTTCGTTCATACGCTTTCCCGGTTGGAGGCGAATTTTCGTCGTCCAGGTGTAGGGGGCAGGACGATTGGTCGAGCAACGGAACCATTCGTTTATTTTTCTGACGATGGACTTTGGCACGACTTAGAAAGGTCAGAAAACTAAACAACTGGTTCTTGTGCTCGACCAGTCCTCTTATTTCTCACCCCCCGATTGTCTATCATGCCTGCATGTATGACTAATACGGTCACCTCACTTAAGCCTTTGCATGCAGGCTCTCTCCCGTTGTTTAGTGCTTTGCGTGCACCCCTTACACTGGGCTGGAGCCGAGGAGATATAGATCACTGCAACTTATGTTGTCCTCCTTGTTAACCGGTCGAGTATTTTGCATTTGAAGACACAGATGTCCTCTTCCTTGGATCTACTAATGACATTCTGGCGTACCACCGCACTACTATCGCCCCAAAAGACGTTTGAATACATGTACGCTCACTGCTAAGGGCGATAACGCGGCTAAACCGTAGCTCTTATGTTTGGATTTGAGAGAATTGAGCCAGAGACAATTTGGTACTTTCAAGTTGGATGCATTTCCAGCCTAATTTGCCCGTATGGGAGGAGCACTGCTTTCTTAGGTAGGACTCCTTATATGTCCCTGATTACCGCCAAATCTCACTAGGTAAATGACCTGAACTGACCTTGGCTGCCCACTGGATTGCAAATCGCCCTCGCGCAGGACTAGGATAGCTGGGCGTTGGGCGGGGTTAAGATTAGAGTTGATGGGATGATGAAGACAACTTACGTGTGAATCTTTTGTGAGGTTGAATTACGCAACGTCGGCCTTCTTTCTTCCCGGTCTTATCATGACTCAGGAGCAGGCGTCGCAAGACAGGCATGAAATCGAGCGTAGTGTCTGACTCAACATAGAGCTCTCGCCGACGCGTGCCGAAACGGCAGGCTTCGTACCACCACAAGAACCAGACAGTATGTACAACCTAATTTTGCGGGGAGTCACACCGGCTGTCCTCATCTGGTCTAGTCCGCCAGTCGAAACGGCGGCCAGTTTTGTCGCTCTATAGAACAACTTCAAGTAGTCGTCTGTTGAAGTCATTTGTCAAATTCTTCTATTGAGAAATTCCCAGGGTGACTGACCCTTTACCTCCCCTCCCCTCCCATAGATCTTCTATGGCGCATTAACGCAGCCATCCATCTTTTCCGAAGTATAATTTAGAACAACTTATTTATTTGATTTGCTGGAGAATTGTCTATTTTGAATATGTATTTTCCACTCATTTAAACTGCCTACCCCGAAAATAACTTAGTGTCATGGGCCCACTTTTTGCTCATATCCAAAGTGTGCAGGACTAGTGCGCAGTTGACCAGTGATTGGTTACTGCTGACCATGGTGTTAATATCTCTTAGTCTTTATCAGTATCACGATCCGGATTTTCATGCATTTTCGCCTAATAAGTATTGCCTGACTAGCGTTATTTATTGCTTTTCTTTACATTTTAATGGCCTACGGAGCTTGTCCTTATACATGTAGAATAACTAGACATCCTTCGCTACAGCTAAAGGCTGCAGACATACGTATCAACGTTAACTAGAGGTCAGTAGACCTATGACTGGAGCCCCACTTCCCCAGTCGAAATATTACAGACCAAGACGAACAGACTGAATACAACGTCAGGGTTTTCCGTCGATTGGTTCGCTCGAAGTTTGGAATACAAATTATGTTTAGACCGACCTTCTCTCATCCAACTTTCGTAAAATGTTCACATGATAGCCCGTATTCAATGTTCGAGCCTGGAAACTTTGGTACCGTTGGTATCATGCGGAACAGCGTGGCGTTCTACAGTCCCATGTTTGGTTTAAATATCCCATACACTGATAATTATGTAGAAAGTTTTTGTTTCTAATCTGATTGACAGTAAATTTCGATTTAGTGGGAGGAATACCGAGGCATTAAGTTACATTCTCCAAAATGCCCCGATCGGTTCCAAGAATCAAGCACTCAAAGACGCAGCCCTTGCTTTGGCCCTGCGATCAATGTCCAGCCTTAAAAGTGCACAAATTGATGAGTTCGTTAGTGGGCTGAAGCAGGAACAACTTGACCTTCTGATGAAGTACATTTACAGAGGATTTCAGTCCCCAAGGGACATCGCGCCGGCAGCTCTTCTTGCCTGGCACGAGAAAGTGAGTTTACCGCTAATTAGTTTTTCGATTTGGTTTCCCATGAATATAGCTATTTTCAGATTATGTTTGCAGTTTTTCGCATGGAACGCTGTCTACTCTTTAACGCCCATCGGCAGCTTCGATGTTGGTACCCCACGTAATGGGAGTCATTCAAGATAGTTTGCCGGTCTTTGCATCATATACTAAAGCTAGAGTAATGTAGCGCGCTTATTTGTAGATTGCCCCAACGACACACTATTCTTCATACCTACATACAGTAGTCGTCAGATGGATCGCTTTAACAGACTGCAATATTTACTGCAGAACTCAGTGCGGCCCGCAATTCGTGATTGTGGCCAGGTCGTCCACATTCATGGCCTTTTTAATACTTCGTATTCAAACAGCGGGCGTTTTGACGACTGCACTATCTCCTGATCTGTCTTTGCCATATCTGTCTGTTCGTTTTTGATAAGCGCCATTTCGGCAGTCGCAAAAGCATAGTTAAGATGGTGCCGCTTATGGGTACCACAGTATTTTTAAAAAAGTCGGTCTTTCATCCTCTGCATTCGGTGTTGGTCACTGATTAACGTGAGGGCGTTTCGCAGTTTTCCTATTCTTTTGGCCGAATCTCTCCAGTGACACAGGCACTTCTGGAGGGGGTTGAACACGCTGTGGTGAACTGAAGTCCTCTGCCCTATTTACTCTTGACATCATACTTGCCTGTTCCTGTTGCAGTCGGGCTATAACTTATCTATCCGTCGTTTATATTCCGCCCGGTCACGAAATTGCAAAAATTAGGCAACATGCTCCAAGTTGCAGCAAGCATGGTGACATGCACTTTGTCCGGTTAGCTTTATAATATAATAACTATATGCTCGACAAGGCCAGGTATGACATAAGTGGCGGGCTTTTGCAAGATTACTAAATCTTTGAAATTGAATTTCGATGGACGCTTAAAATGACACGACATTTCCACAATCGATAACCGATCAGCTGTAGTTGAATACGACAGTTCGACCGCCCTTGCCGACGATGCCCACATTGTGCTACGCACCAAGATGCAGCAGGTACGGTGACTTGCGCTTGAATTAGTTTATAGTGATAGTGGACATGCGAAGCGTCTACCGCACTCTCTTTCCTGCTCCCCCCTGGTTCCGCTGACAAGACAGGGCCAAGAAGACCGGAGGCGGGGGAAGACACGGGTAGATGGCACGATCGAGCCCGCACCTTGGCGTTCCACTACATCTCCCTCCTGCTTCACATAGCAAATGACCAAGTTTTTGACCACCAACAACAACACCCAGACAGGGGTCAGAAGGACGAGGATTATGACTGGGCAGCCATGCCCACCACCTGTTTAACCAGCGGGGGCCTAGGCGTATCTAACAGCATGGAACCAGGTGTCAGGTAACTGTCAGTGCATTCCAGGCTGCGAGGGCCATGGTTTGCTGATACCAATATAACACGCGCTTCCAGACCCTTTGACCTAGAAGGGCGGCACGTGGCTTTACATTTAGTCTGGGCCGCCCGCCTTCAAGGCTGAGTAACCAAATATTCATCAACTGAGAAGCACTTCCCATAACACACACACAAACACAAACGCTCCTCAGATGCATGAGAGTGTCACATCTTGCTTGAGAAGGGGCCGGGACATCCTGGACCTCAGTCCACCAGTCTGCCAATCCACACAACGCACAAAACTGGGCAGACTGCGTGGGCTGATTTGGGACGTCAATCGGCTGCATTTCGAGCCACGGCACTCGACGCACCGTCTTCGTCTCAGATTCCGATTGCGCATGCAGCAACGGAGCCGCATGGAGAAGGAGGCCGAGACGAACGCTTCCCGCTTGCGTGGGAGGTTGCACTTGGGTGCTTGCGATGGGTGATGTTGGTGTGCGGTGAGATGCTAGTAATGGAGGATGTGGTGGTGTAGCGCTGCTGGCGGTTGTCCACTACAGGTTTTCTTGGACGCGCATGTAGACCTATGTGGTGAATAAATATTCTAGTGCAATGTGGACAGTGGAGGCGAATGCGGCGAGCGTTGATTGATGCTCTAGGCACTGGTTTCTCAGTCTCTGTGCGATGGATTCGCAAGTTACCGACCAGGCCGATGTTTGAGGTGAATGTACGGGGACGATGTGGACAGGAAAAGTTGGCGGTGTCAGTGTCGGTTTCAGAGATGGTGGCAGTGGCTGAGCTGTTGATGGTGGACACGTTGGGCGACGGATTGTGCGTTGGGCTAGGCATGGTGGCTGTGCAAATTGTACTGAGTATGTGGATCTTATGATGATGGGCGTGGCGGAGTGTGGGTTGAGCTAGGCGTGGCGGATGTGCATGAGGTGCTAAGTGTGTCGAGACTGCGTTCAATTCCGTTCTCGTGGATACGCATGTGACCACGTAGGCGCCTGCAGTGAGTAACTGTGCAGGGGCAGTGTGGACAGTGGAGGCGAGTGTAGGTTGGCACTCCAGGCACTGGTTCGTCCGTTTCTGTGGGATGGGTTCGCAAGTGACCGACGAGGCCAATGTGTGAAGTGAAGGTGCGGTCGCAATGTGGACAGGTATGGGTCGAGTCCACATCACTGGCGTTTTTGGTAGGAGGGTTGGTGTTTGTTGGCGTGCCAGGATTGTGTGCAGTGATGGTGGGTACAGGAGCCGCCGTAGCGGATGTTGAGGCAATGGAGGAGGCGCTGCAGGTGGTACGAAGGTGTCCTACAAGTAAGATTGGTGCCCCGAACGTCCGCTGACAGCATGCGCAGGTCGGGCGTGGTTGATTGTTGACGTTGCGGGGGGGGGACATTGGAGATGTACGAGAATCGCGTTTGGCGGCGGTAACGCGGTTAGCTTCGTAGATCGCTGCGCCTGTTTCCACTGTCTTCCTCCTGGTCGGTCAGTCCCGGGCGAGGTCTTCCCAGTTGGACGAGTCGATTTGCAGGCGCCTCAGGGAAGTCCTTGTGACATCCTTGTTACGCCAGTCTTGACCTCCTTGTCGGCGGAAACCCGTGGCGGCATCTCCACGGAAGAGTCATTTTGGTAGCCGCTCGTCGTCCATCCGCACGAGGCGGCCGCTCCAGTGCAGTCGCAGTTGTCTCAGCATAGCGTAAATGCTGAGAGTTCCCATCCGTTTCAGTACGTCTGTGTCCGGAATCCGGTCCTCCCACCCCAGCTTCAATATCCGTCGGAGACAGCTGAGGTGAAAGTCGTTGAGCCTTCGTGCCTGTTTCTTGTACACCCTCCAGGTCTTCGCCTCATACAGCAGCGTCTGCAGGATAACCGCTTTGTACCTCTTCATTTTGACCCTGAGATGGAGACCTTGCCGATTCCAAACTGTGTTTCACAGACCGTCGAAGGCTTGGCTGTTTTTCTAAATCCAGTGGGCCACTTTAACGCTCATTTTGGTGTTAGGGGAGAGAGTGCAACTCAGGTAAATAAAGTTGTCCACGACTTGCAGTTAGACGCCATTCATGTTGCGACGTAGGCAGCGTCGGGTTACGATCGATGCATGACCACCGTCTTCTCCGTGTTGATGACCAGGCCGAACTTGTCGCAGGCGACGTTGCAGAGTTCCATACTCCTTTGCATGCTCCCTTCGAAGCGGCGTTGAGAGCGCAGTGGTCGGCGAGGAGACGTTCATGGACAGAAGTTGCGGATACACGGGACTAGAAGTGCATCTGCCGCTGATTGAAGAGTTTGCCGTCCGTCCCGTAGGCGACGCGGATCACGGGGAATTCGTCACGGTAGGCGTCAATCAGAGTGGCAGAGAACATGAGACTAAAGAGGGTAGGCGCGAGGACACAGCCCTACTTCACAGCGTGGGTCACTGCGAGTGCCACTGCGACAGCTCCATTGTCCATGACACGCGCCATTATGCCATCGTGGAGCCGACACGTCATCTGAGTGAATTGTTCGGGACAGCCAAATTTCTGCATGATTTTCCACAGTCATTCGCGATTCACCACGTCGAATGCCTTCATCAGTTCTACGAAGGTAGAGCACAGGTAGGTCCGCATCTCCTGAGACCTTCCCTGCAGTTAGCGGGCATCGAAGATCATGTCGGTGGTTCCACGATGACGGTGGAAGCCGCAGTGGCTTTCCGTCAGCAGACCCTGTTCCGGGTGATTGTTCGGGCAGTTGAGAAGGATGCGAACGAAGATTTTCCCGGCAGTGTTCCGCAAGGAGATGCCCCGATGTTTGTCTCAGAGCTGACGATTACCTTTCGGCAGATAGAGGTGAACGATTGTGGTGTTCTTGGTTTCCTGCAGGACTTGTCCCTGATGCCACATCTGGAAGAGCGCCGTCAGATGATCCTTGAGTTTGGGGCCACAACGCTTGTAGATCTCAGAATGGATCGCGCCCGATCCGGGGGCTTTCCCGCTAAAAAGCTGCTGCACGGTCCTGATGGCATCGTGGATAGAGATCAGGAGGTCGGGGTCAGCGTTGGTCTTCAATTGAGGCAGTCATTATCGTCAAACCAGTCCTGGTGTTGGTGACATACAGGATCGAAGACAGCCGGGGCCGTCGACTGGACTGTGTCCCGCAGTTAACACCATCGGTTTTCCACGGAGGCGTTATCGTCGGCGGTGGCGACTGAAAGGTTGGCTAGCCTTTGAGCTAGCTCATTTCGGAAATGGAGATGGTGAGCAGACAAAGACAACAGAGCAATATGTGACTTACCTGGTGGTTGCTAACCTTGAGGTCTCCAGCGAGGCTGTAAGCGAATCCTCAGCTTGGAGATGACGAGGCGATGGTCGGTCCACCCGTCGGCACCCGGAATCACCTTTGTCATCAACTCGTCTCGCTGGTATCGCCTCCGGACGAGGACATAGTCCAGCAGGTGCGAGTGTCGCGACCGAGGGTGCGTCCAAGTCGCCTTCTGTCGCATCGGGAGGCGGAAGAAGGTGTTAGTCAGAATAAGCTGGTGTTCTGCGCAGGTTCGTAGAAGGAGCAGGCCATTGTCACTGGAGCCGTCGAGACTATGGGGACCCATCACTACTCTCCAGGCAGCATGGTCTGTGCCGACGCGGACGTTGAAGTCACTAAGGACAACCAGATTGCCTGGCTTCGGCACAGTCACCAGGAGGGCGCACTGGTCCATGCTGAACTTGGTTTTCGCCTGATCGGATCTGGTCATTGGGGGAGGGGGGGGGAGCATAAACGCTGATGACGGTGGCAAATTCGACTCTCCGAGGGAGCATAGGCTCACGAGGCGATCGTTGACGCCCTGCGGCAGACAAGACAGTCGTCCCACGATGTCGTTTGGGATGTCAAAGGCGACGCCAGCGTTGCGTCACGCTGCCTTGAGGTTTGCCTCTATGAGCCACCGTATGCGTGCAGATGGCAGAGTTTCTCGGCCCTTGGTTGGAGCACCTTTTCTAGCCCCTTTTTCGCGAGGGGGTAAGCGGTGCTATTCCTAATTAGGGCCGCTTAGACATCCCACTCCACTCTGAATCCCGGCTTTGTTTAGTAGAGAACGACCCGAGTTAGCCTGAGCCGCCTACGGGATTACGTGTCGCACCTTCCCATAAGACTTTTTGAAGGCGGTGGGAGGGGAAGGCGAATGGAAGGAGAAAGCATTGGAATGGGGACAGAATTATCGAATGTGGGCACATGCAGGACAGGCCACTCTCATCTGATTTAGTCCGCCGGTCGAGGCGGTTACTGCGAGATTTGGAAGCCACTCTGAATATGGGTACGTATAGACAAACCACCAGTGTTGATGAACTAACCGGTCATTCGTTTCCTCGGATGTAAGCAATATACGGTGAGCCTGTTGTGATAAAGGATCGCCAAAAGCGCCTGTCTCACAGTAAACAAGTTCGCATGCAAGTCGCTACTGCGCCTTTTCTTTGGGCTAGTGGTCGCTACTGTTTTAGACTGTTATTGTTGTTGTCGTACCTGCTAACCGTGAAGGCGTGAACATTCTTATCAGCCTGTAGCATCCAATAGTTTCACCTGAAAGACAATTAACTAACGGTACGCCTACCTGCATGACTCCTGCCGACGTTCATATCACTAGCGCATCTGGCTGAGCCAGGTTATTTGCATGGTTGAGCAAATTGATCTTTACAACTCTTCACCACATTTTGCTGATGACGAGGCTTCTAAGTTGGCACATCTACGTAAGGCCGACTAACTCTGTGCAGTGCGTGACCGATCTCATGAAATGTTTGCCGAAATTCTGAAATGCGTTTTTGACTAGGAAGGATTAACAAGGTGGCGTTGTAATATTGATCATCATCTAATATAGTCTCATAGAGCATCGGACTCGCCAGGATGTCGGCTTTTGAATGCGCTTCTTTTTTGACCTCCCACAGAAACCGTACTGGGTAAAAAATGGCTACTTAAGTAGCAGGCATTTTTCAAATTGATCTTCAATGGTCTTATATACTCAAACATATTCTGTGGAAAACATGCACAAAAATATGTTTTTCTTACTCGTTTGATAGAAAATCACACTGTCTTCACATTTTATACCTGAAAAAGTGTATATTTAGGTTTTGAAAAAGTTTCCTAATTCCCGAATAATTTTGAGCCAGATTAGCCTTTACATTAGCGTCCAGCGATTTCAGTCTACGAACTGCATGCGTCCTGCGTAAGGAAAATCACATATTTTTCTGTGCATTTACAATGATACTATCTAGATTTTATAAAATTTTGCAATAAATGCGGACTATATTGTACAATTCGTGAGGAGCAGCGGTCAACGGACAGGTACGATGCTGTATGAATAGACATTGAACGATCTTGAAAATCTCATAATTAAAAACTTTTGAAACTTAATTACACTTCTTTTTCGAGTGTGAAATATAAAGCTGACATGATTATCTATCAACCGAGTGAAAGAAACAATATGTTTGTCCATGTTTTCTATAAAATATATTTGAATTTACAAGGCCATCGAAAATCCATAGAAAAAATGCATGCTACTTAAGTAGCCATTTTTTACCCAGTACGGTTTCTGTGGGAGGTCAAAAAGAAGCGCATTCAAAAGTCGACATCCTGGCGAGTCCGATGCTCTATGAGACTATATTAGATGATGATCAATATTACAACGCCACCTTGTTAATCCTTCCTAGTCAAAAACGCATTTCAGAATTTCGGCCAACATTTCATGAGATCGGTCACGCACTGTATCTCGCTGTTTCTAGCCTGGTTGGCGGCCCCTTTGTCACGTTCAACTTTGCGAGCTTTTTGTAGGTGGCGACTCGAATTGTTCGTAGCAGTGCCATCTCCTAATGCTAGTTTGTATTAGTATCGGTATCTCATAAGACACCGGATTACTCCTCCTCCTCCTCCCCCTCCTCCTCCTCCTCCTGAAATTAACATTTGACGCCTTTGTTGTGCTCTTTCTTACCATATGTGCATTTTCTTCTTAAATTTTAGGTTTACGCCAAGGGCAGCATAAGCTCCATCATCCGTGTTCTGGTAGACTCGAAAGGTGTTTAGAATGAGAACACCAGGAATTTTTTGTACCCACGTTCATGCAACCGTCTCAACAACTCTTCTTTGTCTCCTGATCTTCTCCATGATCCGTCACCTTTTTATCGCGCAGCCACTACTTTCCAACTTTTTACTTTGGGCTGTGACTTCCACCCTAAATATACCCTCCTTCTGCTGTCTGTGCCTGTAACCCATCCCCTCGTTGATTGCTTTCACATACGAATGCTCACGCCGTCAGACTGGTTAAATTTCTGCAATGTTTATGCGTAATTCCACCAGTCTTACTGTCTTAAGCTCCTTCCGGCCTGGATGTTGACGCGTTGTCTAGCAAAAGTTCCCAGGAAATGTGGAGGCATCACTTGACGGTACTGCTTAAGGCAGTTTTTGTGTTCCAGACCAAAGTGGAGGTGGAAGCACTTGTCGCAACGTAGTAGCTGTTAGGCGAGCGCAAGCAGGAATTAATCTGAACTGGGCTTCGTAGTTCTCGGTGGGTCTCCGCTTCTACCTGTGCACATCTCGACAGACCTGCGGCATGGCAGCATGTTCCGTTAGCCGCCGCTGGCGGCGTCTGTGATGTGGGTCAACACACAACACAAATGCCCTCCTGAGCGCATTGTCAGAGAGGGTGGAAGCTTCCGTAGAGGGAATCTCTTTGTTGCCACTGTGTTAGCCAAACGAAACTAACAATAATACATCCGCAGAGAAAAATTCCCTCAAGGCTCAGCCCAGATGCTGCATAGTCTTGGCCATATCCTAGCTCTTACTCGCTTCTGTACCCAACTAATATTTTGAGGAAATGGCAATTGCATTAGCCGAGACCGTGTCGTGCATGGCACCGGGCTACTGATTACTGCTGCCCACCTTAATGGGTAGCTGGTCTTTTGTGCGCTAACTGCGCCTCTGGCCTTCATGGCTTTGTTTTGTTCTCAGCAAACACCGGCTATGGGAAGAGAGTGCGAAGTAGGTGCGGCATAACACTGGCTCACTACAGATAAATCCGCGCGCAAGCGACTGCCCTATCTAAGTCTTAGTGCAGTGGTGGTCTATCCGTCTGCCATGAAAATCATGGTAACGCGTAGTACCGCGTGCCTCATGGTGACTACGCAATTCACGGGGAACAAGCGCGCCATACAAAGGCACTAACTGGGTCATCTATCGATCAGTCCGTGTCACGCAATAGGACGCCGGGTCCCCTGGAGAGGTGTCAGCGGAGTAGTATATTACCTGATGAAAATCCCATCATTGAATAGCTTTGCCTTGAAATTCTGTGGCATTCGAGAAAGTGGAAATTAAGCAGATTGGTTCAGGATCGCAGATGGTCGTCACTTCACCCTGGCTAAGTTTGCAGAGTTGTCCCTTGTCTCGTGAATACTGGGGTCAGTTCCTCATTCGTTTTAAATGCATGACTTGGTCGAATCTCACCTGTCACTTTTGGATTGTCCGGAAACATGCTGAGCAATTCAACAGCTGCCTCCCCTTGGTCATGGTACGACCGGTCCGCTAACGGACTTCTTAACAAATATCACAGTTTTTAATGATTAAGTCACAAACAGCGTAGGATAAAATTTGTCGAGAGCCACGATCCAGGGCTCATCCTCACAGAATATGCCGCGTATGTGTCCGGGAGTTCCACCAGACACTTTCATTGTGAGTGCTTTCGAGGTGGGGTAAGATTTGGCGTGTAAATTGTGGACTCCGAACTCCAAAAACTTGCCCTGTTTTCCGACTACTCAGAATGATTCTGTTGAAGTCAATAATGTAGTGGCAGTTTGCGCCTGCTGGTCCACTTGAGACAGCTCTTCGGTTGAAAGTCGCCTCGTAGGTTCATGCAACCCCACCTTCACTTTTTTGTGCTCGAGTCAACCATGGCATTGGTACACAGAGAAATCCGTAGCGCTGTCCCTGTTGTCGTTTGACGGGAAGTTACTCATGTCAAAGCACTGGCTGTCGGTAGGCCCAGCTAAATCGCACTGTCCGTGGCATTCCGGTTTTGCAGAAGCCCGCCGAAATCGTGGCCCACCCGTCTGCACTCCTGTGCTGTCCAGCATTTCCTGGAGTTGAGGGTAGGAGCCTCCGTCACACCAGTATAAGATTCGAGGATTTATGGTCGGCAGGTGCGACCCAGGTCCGAGTGCATGTTTATTTTTTAGTCCCATTCTTGGCGCCTGCTGCAACACGGCGCCACGTGCGTACCAGTGGCAGTCTGGTTCTTGGCCGATCACAGCTGTTCAAACCGACCAATAAACCTCAAGGTCGACTCAGACGTCCTCGCTCAGGGCGCTTTGACGCATGTTACACTGTAATTTGCGACGCCGGCTCCTTCAACATCGGACCTTCGCCTCTTCGCCGTCCGTCAAGTTGTTCCAACCTGTTCTCAAATCGGTCTGTCCAGAATTAAGTGCTCCATCTGCTGTCGTCCAACTCCTCTTTCTATTTTTGACTTGGCCTGAAGGTCGTGGTGGCTAAGGTCTGACTATGGCTTTGGCTGCCGCGACAAACGCACCAGTTAATCAGTAGCTGGGAAGAGGCAGGCCACGTCCTCCTGAATACCGAAACTCGGGTTTCCTGTTGTCTCCCCAGGATTTTTTCCACCCTTATGAGTGGTGAAGCAAGGGGATACAACCAGAATGGGGCTGGCCAGCTAGGACTCGGGTCGTTAGGTACGACGTTAGGTGCGACGTGCGCATATTATGGTAGCTGTACATGGAAGGTCAAGTACACCCCCCTAGCAAACCTAAAGTTTGACGCAAGCCAGGCCAGTTCTAGCCATCAGGGCAAGTGCTCTCTATTTGGTGCTGATCAATGACAGGGGCCTCGCCGAACTGCATTTCTCGATTGAATGCGTCAAGTGGGACGTCGGCACATAGGCTTAGCTTTTTTTCGTCATCAGCTGCTTTAGTATTTATGAGATTGTTGTATGAAATTCCCCCATTACTGTGTCGCGGTAACCATGCACCCCTGGAGATATTTGGACTTCAGTACAGAGATCGTTTGTTTTCTGTGAGAAAATTCCATCCAGTCTAGCATAGGACTAAATGTGTTTCAACTTTGATGCACAAGCGTCGACTCTCCAGGAGATATTTCGATCTGTGGGAAATACGATACACGTATCTGACGTATTTCTTCATCTGAAAACGAAAACACTTTCAAGTCCACCGTTAATTTATAATAAGTTACCCCCATTCGATTAGTGACCAGTCAACGGAGCTGACTGTGCAGGATCAGAGCGCTGTTGGACGGTCTGCTTTCCAAGTTCACATCTAACTGGCGCGGCCTTGAGATTCGGTCTGCGTCTGCCGCGTGTTTACATACAGTTCCATCCAACAAAGTTCACATTTTGCCGGATTTAAAATTCTATGACCCTGCTAACATTGTCAAATTCGTCATAAGCCGATCAAGGAAGTATTATATAAAGCACGGTTGCCTACTCCACCTATGCAAAAAGTAAAGCGATATCTTAATACGTGCGCATGCATTGCAGTTTGTAGTCATTACCGACGTTGTTAACTTTAACAGTAGGACTGTAGCCGGGTTGGCCGCGATTTGTCCTGCATCCTCATTTGGTTGATACCTTATGATATGTTAAGTAAAACAATTTCAGTAGGCATTGTAGCGGCCGAGGAAGGTGCCGATGTTGTGAGACGGAGAGCGAGGCGAGCGTTACGATACGGTACGGTAAAGGGGGAAGGGATCGGCGGATGAGAGAGGAAGGGACACCGGCCATCTTCGCTGACACGCGTTTACGCCATCTCCACCCTAGGTCCTCGCGCCAAAAGTGTCACGGCATTCAAACAATAATGTTCAAGTCCAGGGGCGCGACAGCATGATATCGCTGGCTTGCCACATATGACAATACGGCCATTGGTCCGCTTTATATTTCCACTTTGACGCCCGTCCTCCCCCCTCCCTGATTGGTGATTTCAGCTGTGCGATTTCCGCCGGTTATTGTCCTCCCATCTTATAACCAAACCGTCCATCGGTTTGGCACTGTGCGGCTTCTGATTACCGTAGTTAATTTCACTGTCGCACCTACCTCTCCTTCAGGACGTCGAAGAATGCTTTTTGGAACGACACACCTGCACCTCCGGCGTTTAGTTGGTGCTTGCAGTTTTGTCATTTATCCTTTGCCCTCTATGTTGTTGTGGCCCGATCATCGTACTCGTTGTCGCCGTCATACGCCATACACGGTCGACTGCAGGTGCTATCTCAACTTCCGCTAATCTCATCCGCCGGCCATCTATCATTGCGGGAGCTTCAGTACCCTTAGGCCTACTTTCCCTTCCCCGCAGGCATCACACTGCTCTAGTGATGGCTTGCCTTTGAGCATTCACTTGATTAGCCATTTAGACTGCAACTAGTTTGTTTGGCTTCAGTGGTCCGAGTTCCCACTCATCTAATCTTACAATTTGACGTTTCATCCGTTTGGTACTTTATGGCCCCCGGTGACCGCCGTTGTCTCCACTGCCCGAAGTAACCTTCTTGAAGGTTGTTGAAGAAACGCGCTCACAGGCGTACAGCGCTCACAGGCGTACAGCGCTCTCTGTGCGTACAGCGCTCAATGTGTTTGTGCGTGTGCGCGGATCTCCCTTTGCTCATACGGTTCTTAGGTGGACGTTGCGAACCCAACGTCGCCATGCAGCTTCCCTTCGGGGGTGTTTGGCCGCTTGCGACTGGTGTTTTCTCTGCTGCGCGTTACCGTTGCCGTTCATCTGCCGAAACTCACTTTGCCTCGTTCATTACTTACTAACTACTAATAAGAAGACTGTCAATGCGGCTGCAGATAGCAGTAATACTATCATAAAAGCTGCAAAGGGGTTGGGGGCTATAATTACGTTCACGTGTAAAGTTTAAGAACCAGGGCTGTCATCCATTTGCGTGGGTTGTCTGATGGCGGAGAAATTTACGTATTGCATAGGCGCTAGAGTTATTTAACTGCTTATCCTCCTTTGGAAGGACTTTCGATGTTTACCAAATAGGCGCCAACCATGCCCCTCAGAAAGGTTTCC